CATTCCTGTTCCCTTGTGTTCTTTTATCCTCTAAAAGGAAAGAAACATCTAATGATTTGTTTTCTTATAAGCCAGAGAGTGTGCCTGCTGTCACAAGGTGAACCCCTGACTGTACCCAGTGATCCCTGATTCAAGCTATGACCTAAAACCCAGCCCAGCCATGGAATCACCCCAGTTCCACTCCAAGTTCCCTGAGAATTCTTCCAATTGGAGAAGGCTTGCTGGGAAATTAGACTCCTAGCTCTGGCTAAATTTAGCCTTACATAGGTGACTGTTGAGTGAGCAACTAAACTCCCTTGGATTCTTGTTTCTTTCCCTTGTACAGCATGCACATCACCAAACCAATGTGCTTTGCTGAGAAAAGGAATGCTTTCTAATGCCATAGCCTAGTGACAGGCACTGAGCAGACATCCACTTGATGAAATAAATAATTAATTAAGCAATGCAAGTACAAACATTACACAATCATTTCCCCTGGTTTACCTTCTCCCCAAATGATTTACACATTAAATCTTATTTCAGAAAGTTTGCTTGCAGTGAAAACTTCTGTATAGTGCCTATTTCCAGCCTCAGTGAATGGCTTAATGATACCTACTACATACTTTCTACAACTAAATTTTGGTAAAGAAAATGACTTTAACTATCCCTTAGAATTTGCTATAGTAGAGTTTTCTTTAGACAGGTAATAATTATATCTTTTCCCACTGTACATCCTTCTGGTACCATGTAAGAAGAGTGGGAAAGAAGTATAAAGGATGTGAAATATGCCAAACCAATCAAATCTCTCTCTTGTGTTTCATCTATGGATGAGCTGAAGTTTTGGATTTTTTTTTTTTAACTTAATGAGGTGTCTTTCATTTAGAAAGATCCTATGATGTCAGTAGATCCTGTACTTTGAATTATGCTTTTATGATTTCTTACCTGTCACTATTGTACCAGCATCCTTACTTAATAATTTTTAAACCATAAGAGTTTCCGGTTCACGGTCAAGTTTAAAAGCTATAAGCTGGAGGATCAGCAGATGGCATAATGGTGACATCACTGAACTCCCATGTTGTCAGCTGTGGTTTGAATCCTGGACCTGGTGACTTAAACCTCATGCTGGGTGCATGTGCGTGTGCACCCAAAATCCTGAGAGGAGAATGGAGGAAAAGGGATTGTGGTGTGGCTATCCCCCCTGGGAGAGTGATTTCTTGCTTTCTGTCTCTCTGTCTTTCTCTGTATCTCTAGTGAGCACATGTGCCCTATAGCAAAAATCTCTCTCTAAAAAAAAAAAAAAAGAATAATAAAAAGCTAAAAGCTGTGATGAGGAAATAGTCTAGATATTCATTGACAGATCTTCATTGATATGATTCAGGTGCTATGCTGGATGTTAGGGGTGGTGGATTCCTTGTTGTCCTGAAAAAGACACCCTCCCTACCCTTCAGGGATATCTGATCTGACAGGGGACATAGGCATTAATCAAGCTATCACACAAGGGGCTGAATGATTGTAGATGGAGATGAAGCTTGTGAAATAGAGCATGGATCCAACAGAGTGCTTAGAGAAACCTAACACGGGCTAGAGGATCAGGAAAGCAGCCCCAAAGAAATGAGGATGAGCTAATATGGAAAGGAGAGATAGAAGCTGCTGCTGAGAAAAAGGGCGGGGAGATGGTTCAGAAGAAGGCATAGCGTTTGCAAAGGCCATGTAGGAGGAATAAGGCTGGCAAATTTGAGAAGCTGAAAGAATTTCCAGCCAAACAAGATCATAGGCTATGCTGTGCATAAGAGTGGTAGAATCAGTCTGACAATTAGGTAGTTAGAATAAAATAACCTGGGGACCATCAGAAGGCTTGATGATTACATCACTAGACTCCTACATAGTCAACCACAGTTTGAGTCCCAGACCTGGAGGCTTAAATCTCACACTAGGCATGTATGTGTGTGCCCAAAATCCCAAGAAGAAAATAGAAAAGCAGGGACTGCAGCATGGCCATTCCTCCAGGGAGGAATTTCTCACTTTCTGTCTCTCTCTCTCTCTCTGCCTCTCCAACAAGTGCATACACACTACAGCAAAAATATCTCAAGAAAATCTATAAAAGAATAAAATAACCTGACTTAGAGGGTCCTTTTGAAGTAGATATTTGGGTTAAGTATGTGACTGGGAGTAGGGCGTATTCAGTGTTCTGGTAAGGGCCAGGTTATTATAAATATTAGGAGCAAGTTCAAGGCTATTTGATCATACTTTTCAAAAATTAACTTAAAATTTATACATCCCATCACTGTACATCACAATAGCTTATAAAATAAATTTTCTTCGCATAAATACACTTCACACCAGTTCAGTTAAAGATATCGTCATACATGTTATCATCAACAGACAATCTGCCATTTTCGTGTCCCTTAAATATCCTGTCTCTCTATTTTTCTCCTTGATTCCTTTCCTCTCACTCTTCCCCGCCTTGCACCCTCCTCCCACCTTGTCTCCAGTATCTGCAATGTTCTCCATGCTTCTATATCCTCCAATCTTTCAGTTTCCTCCATAGAGTGCAGACATTCAGAATATATTAAGTGGGAACATACAATGTCTCTCTACAATGTCTCTCTTTCACAGTTTTGCTTGCTTCATTCTGCAGTCAGTCTTTCATATTTGTCCACTTTCTATCGAATGCTAGGGTCTTGTTTTTTATGACTGAGTAGTATTCCACAGTGTGTATGTACCACACTTTTCAATCCATTCATTTGTTCATAGACAATTGTGTTGGTTCCATGTCTTAGCAATTGTGAATAAGGCCACAATAAACATGGATGTTTCTGACTGAGCATTTTCCTATCCTTTGGGTAGATATCCAGGAGTAGAAATGCTGGGTCGTATGGTAGTTCTATTTGTAGGTCTTTGAGGAACCTCCATACTGTTCTCCATGGTGGCTGTACTAATTTTTATTCCCACCAACAGTGTAGGAAAGTTCCCTTTTCACCAATCTTGTTAGCACTTATCATTGTTTATTTTTTAATCTTAGCCATTCTGACTGGGGTTAGGTAGTATCTCATTGATTGATTTGCATCTCCCTTATGATAAGGGATGTGAACATTTTTTCATATGCTGTTTTGCTGTTTGTATTCTTCCTTAGATGTCTGTTCAGCGAATTTGCCCATCTTTTAATTGGGTTAATCATTTTTTTTTCTGGATAGTAAGCGACTTGAATTCCCTGTATATTTTGGTTATCAGTCCCTTGTCTGAGGCATAGTTTGCAAATGTATTCTCCCATTCTGAGGGTTGCTGGTTCACTCTAACTGTTGTTCCTTTTGCTGAGCAAAAGTATTTTAATCTAATGTAATCCCATTTGTCCATTTTTGGGATTATTGCCTGTGTTTTAAGGGTCTTAATTAAGAAGTTTTTGCCTGCTCCAATGTCTTCAAGAGTTTTCCCTGCATTATCCACTGGTAGTTGTATAGTTTGAGATCTTAGATTTAGATCTTTGATCCGTTTTGAGTTGATTTTTTGTTAATAGTGAGAGATAGGAGTAATTTAATCTTTTTGCAGTTCGATACCCAGATTTTCCAGCACTATTTGCTAAAGAGATTTTCTTTTCCCCTCTGGATCGATTGGTGCCCTTTGTCAAAAACCAGTTGGCTGTATGTTTGGGGGTTTATTTCTTGGGTGGGTCTCTATTCTGTTCCATTGGTCCATATGCCTGTTTTTGTGCCACTACCATGCTGTTGCCTTTTTTTTTTCTTTTTTGAGATCCACATACACCTTTCATTTTAAGAAATAAAGCAGATCCATGGTTTAGACGTTAAATCACTTTTGCAGACAAGGAAAACTTCTAGGCCCACACAGGTAACACGGAAGCAACTACCACTGGAAGGATGCATGCCCTACATGCAGCTGAAGCCTCAGAGCAGAGACTTGGAAGGAGAGAACCATAGAGAGGCCCCTGCAGAGGTCACTGAGCCTGGGAATAACAGGGCTCAGTGACGTCCAGGCAAACCACCAGCTGATCCCCTCGCCATCATGGTACAGAACAGCTCCAGGCCATGTTCCTCTGGAGTAAACTAGACTCTGGAGTGAACTAGAGGTAGGTTCTTGATCATGTTCCATGGAACATTCTCCCGTCATTACCAACTAGGCCAAGGCACTGGCTGCAGGGGGAACCCATGGGGAAATAGATGACAGTATTCAAACAGCAAAGGAGAAGGCACATAGACAACCTTGACTCTTCAGATTCTCAGAAACTTCCACGGTAGAGCAGGAGATGGACTCCACATTCCCAAGGCTTAGTCCAAAAACTTCTCATTGGCATTTGCACCAAACAAGGCTCCCCAGACTTCCGGCATCATCTGTGGGGCTAAGAGGTTCAGCCAGCTTTCCAGGGTGTTAGAAACCTTTATTTTCCAGTCTCGGTTGTAGATCTCAACCCTACCAGCTATGTCCTCAGGCAAGAATGCCTCCTGATCGATCCGGAGATCAACATCCTTTTGGATGGCGACCTTGTACATAGGGATGGCTTTTTGTGCTGCAGCCTTTACCAGAGGAAAGTCTTGTTTCCTGCAACAAACAATCATTCGGGGCTCCAACAACTGGTACAAGCCCTGGAGGACCAGTCCATCCAGCAGCACCTGGTACCTGGATGTATCTTTCACCACTTTGCTGAGTCTCTGCTTTGCTTCATTCAGAAGGTCTGTGATAAGGTCATCTCTTGCTCTGAGGACCTCCGGCCTTGCTTGATTCATCAAATTAGACATCTGAATTTTCTTCTGCTCAATCTGCTTTTCTTTCTTCTCATAGTCTTCCATAATCTCCAATCTTTGAGTTTGCACAAGACGACCTTTCTCAATGTTGAACTCTTCTTCTGCCTTTGCATTTATTTCTTCTGCTTTCTCATTGGCCTCTTGTTCAGTGAAAGCCATCATATGCTTAATCTGCTTTTGCACATCAGCATCACTGAGGGCCATGGTGAAAGAGGCACTAGGCTGCTGAGCAACTGGCTCGAGCTGACAGCTGACGTTTGAAGGAGGCAGCAGGAGAGCCAGAGCTACCATGCTGTTTTAATTATCATAGCTTTGCAATGTATTTTGGGGTCAGGGAGTGAGATGCCTCCTACTCCGCTCTTCTTCCACAGTATTGCTTTGGCAATATGGGGTCTTTTATGATTCCAGATGAATTCTGTGATTGATTTTTCTAAATTTGTGAAGAATATTTCTGGTAATTTGATTTGGATTGTGTTAAATTTGTAGCTTAATTTGGGGAGAATTTGAGTATATTAATTCTTCCGACTCAAGAACGTGGGAATGTCTTTTCACTTTTTTGTGTCACTTTTAATTTCTCTTAATTTGCGTGTAGAGGTCTTTGAATTCTTTGGTTATAGTTTTTTTTAAAACAAATGTTTGTTGTGTTTTTATTATGTGCCAGATAGGTTAGAATGAGCCAGGAGGACAAAGTTTATAATGATGGTTAAACATGTCAGCTATGGACAGACAAGTATGGGATTGTATCTCTACTTCAAAATGTGAGAGCTTTAGAAGTGCTTTTGAAGCTTTTATGTTACTTAATTTCTTTAAGGTTCAGTTTTCTCAACTACCAAATAAAGGAAAATAGCTTTTCAAAGGGTGGTCAGGAATATCAAATGATTTCATGCATACAAAATATTCAGCTTAGTGCTGGATGGACCATAGATATTTAATTAATATTGGCTATATGCAAATCAGCTGGAAAAATTAAAAAAAAAATAATCTTCGTTTCTAAGTCTGGGCTTTAGATACTGAGAAAACCCCTAGAGTAGCTGAGGGGACAATTGAAGGGACAAGGGGAAGTTTCCTGCCAGCTGCACCATCAACCCAAGAGACTAAGCTGGCACCTTCCTTGTCCCTGTAGACAGCAGCTTGCCGCTGGCTGGGATGGTGGCAGTGGGCCAGTCACTGAGTTTAAATAGAATTTTCTTTGCAAATTGACATAGCAATGAAATTACCAAACTGCTGTGTTTATCTTTCCAAATAAAAGACAGATTTTAAGTACATTATACCAATGTAATTGAAAATCAGAAGCAAATGAGAGGGTGTGTTGTAACTTCTGAGCTAATGTGAGATTCTACTCTCCTAACCTCTAGTTAGGTATGGGAGGAGGACAAAGTAGAGAAGATACATTTGCGGTATCCCTGGGCTCAGAACCATTTGGATGAGCTGATGTCTTAAAGTGATAGCAGCTCACCATGTGGGAAACTCAAAGCCCCCAGGTTCTCTCTAGGGATGCAAATACAGCAACTTGGATTTCAATTAAGATTCTGCTATCCCCAGGATAGAGTCCTCTTAATCCTTCTTCAGAGGTGCTGCCTGGGTAATCAAACCCTCATGCAGCAGGCTGCAGGCTGCATGCTGCAGGTGGCTTTGTTTAACCCAAGCTTAACTGCCAAAGCTCTCTGAGACAAGCTCACCTGTTTAGAATCCACACATAACCTCTGTTGGCTGCATGGGGGGAATTGAAATACTTCTGTGTGGTGAAGGAAACTACCTGATCCTAAAAGTAGAGAATTGGAAGCTTTTACAAGCATTCCCAGGACTTGCTGGCTACCTGGTTTCATTTTCAATGGTTTGTTTTCTCTTTTTATTTGTTTGTTTTTGATGGAGAGGGGTCTTTTTCCTTGCTTTGGTGGTCTCTGTACCTGAACAGTGGCAGTAAGGGAGGTGGAGATGGGCCTCCATCCTTTGTAACCCTATCATTCCCACTCAGTCATGCCAACTTAAAGTAATACCTTTTTTGGATGTGAGCAATTAAAGCTATTTCCTTAACCTTAAGAATATGAAAGAGGCTGAGCTGCAGTGGTGCAGTGGTAGCATGATGCTCTGCATGCTGGTGGCCAGGTGGAAGATCCAGGTTTAGTTCCTAGGTCATCCTGTTCATGCCAGACTTGCATGTGCTTGTGCCCAGGATCCCAGTGTAAGATCCTGTTGAGGGTGCTGCTTTATCTCTACCTCTGTTTCTCTTATGAAAGAAAGAAAGAAACTTTTTTTGAAAATATAAAAACACTTTTTAAAAACTTGTCTATTTTTAAAATATAATCATGCATAATCTAGATAAGAATGAAGTAGTTTGAGACAAGTGCTTGGGCAGGTTACTACCCTAAGCCTATCTTGTATAGTTTTCCCCTACTGACTCCAGCTCATCCTTCTTAGCTTTTCACCAGCATCCCGTGGCTAACTCCTGAACAAGAGGATGAAATTCTATCTGGATATACTGGTCATCCTCACATCAGATACAAAACAGGTAAAAAACAAACAAACAAACAAAAAACAAGTATCTGTGATAGAAGTGTGGTATAACAGTATATTGTCTGAGAGAATGGAAATAGAATTTTGCTTGAAGAATACTGGCAAGTGAGTATTTGAAAAACATTGACAATTGAGTGATATTATGTTGGCTTTTGTGATAGAGTTGTTTAGCGAGTTTTCATCATTGGGCTTCTGTGTAGAACTTTGAGCAGATTCATAAGCTAATGCCATTAATAGGAAGACAGAAGGACCAGCAGATGGCATAATGGTTACGTCGCTGGACTCCCACATAGTTGACTATGGTTCAAGTCCTGGACTTGGCTACTTAAAACTCACGCTGGGCACAGGTGCAGAGTCCTCCCAAAGTCCTGAGAAGAGAATGGAGGAGAATGAACTGTGGCATGGTCTTTCCCTCTGAGGGGTAGGAAGGTAAATTCTTTTTTTTCTCTCTCTGTCCCTCCAGCAAGCACATGCGCCCTATAGCAAAAATCTCTCTTAAAGAAAAAAAGGAAAAGCTAGATGGACAGAAATCTCTGACTTGGGTTGCATATGGATTTCCCTGTTGTTTCCACCTTGCATTGAAATTCTGTTCTCCTGATGGACTCATTTAATGAGGTCAGGGTAACCTAGAGAATCAAGCATGTCTGTTTTTACTGGGGAACATGTAGAAGCAAGATAATGGTTAAGGTGAGTTCTGTCTGTCATCACGAAATACCCATAGTCTTGAAAGAAAAGGCTAGACAATATGGGTATTATTGTCAGTGATACAGGTTGGGTGTTCTCACCTAGCAAAGAAATGCAGAAAATAACATTTCATTTTTTGTCTTTAATGAAAAGCATTAGAACAAAACCAGTTTGGGACCAATCCTTGCTCTGAGAACTCTTGAGCTGGGTGACCTTCTTTCTTTGTGCATACAAGTTTGCTCAACTGTGGATGAGATATGAGACCAGAAGATCTCTAAGATTCCCATGTAGTAAAGAGGAACTTGGATCCATGAAGTATGTTATTTAGTCCCACCTTTAGTACTGATTAGAAAACATCTTTCTTTTCTCTGCGCTCAGTTTTCTATAAGATGGTGGTGGGGGGAGGAGTTTGGATAAGATATCTGTAACATCCCTCTCAATTCTGAAGGGCAGATTGATTATCACTATGCAAGAAAGCAATGATAAGATACTTGCCCATGAAACACAGCTGCATCATGTTGAGAAGCTAATCGACTTAGCATCTAATGGAGATGCTGAGCCATCCTGTCTCCCAGTGCATACATTCTCCTCTACCTTCTTGGACCACTTGGGCATCCTGAGGCTCAGGTCAATTTAACTGCTTAGGTCACAGAGAAAATTCAGCTAAATGGAATAGTATCGGGAATGCTATTGCTATCTGAGCTGGACGATGTTTTGAAGGTATCATATGCTGTAGGAAATGAAGGAAATGTTTACAGAGGGAGGATGTGATGACAGCAACGTTTTGATAGCAGTTCAAATGAAAAATGTTCAGGGTGAGGTAGCTGGTTTAGATAAGTGCATCAGGACAGTAGTTAATGTGATCTCAGCTACATCCACTTACATCAATGGGGGAGGAATGATCACAGATCCATGTAGGAGAGAGAGAGTGCCTACCTCCAAATATATGTTCCTGGCAGTAGAGTTCAGTTTCGTTCAGAGAGGATATTAATTGTGGAGCATGTCCAGGAAGAGAGATAAGAAAGGAGATAGTGGGATCAGTAGTGACATCTGTAAGCAATGGGAACCACATGCAAGAAGAGGTCTTGGGTTTGTGTCCTGGGACCTCTCTTAGCACACTGGGCACACATGTATGTCTGCCTACAATTTGGGCCTGCTGAGACGGAGTACATGTGAAAATACTATTGAGGGTACTGTGTATCTTCCTGTCTCCCTGTCTTAAAAATACAAATAAGACTAAAAACAGAGATAGGTTAAACCTTAGTATAAAAAGAACAGTTGACATTTCTGGGGTGAGGGCAAAAAACTGAAAATAATGGAGGAATGAGAGAACAATCCATCATGAGGAGGTGGGCATGTGACTGCTAGCAGAAAGGAGATTTATTCCTTCCACATAAAACAATAGTCAGTTTTAAGGAGACAAGTACCCACTCAGGATAAAGAAAAACTTTGAGAATTTTATAATAGTGGGAGGCATTTGTGCCTTCATCAAGGAACTCCTTATTGCTGGGAAGCTCAAGGAGAGGCTGGGAGGTCAATCTTTCAATGTGCTGTATTGAATAGGAGATTTTCATTCTCTTACCTTATGGTGGATACATCATTAGAATTAAGTTCTCATATTCTTGTAGTGATTACTCTACCAATCTACTTTGTGACCTACACTAGGTCATTTAGCTTTTCTGGACCTTAGTCTACTCATCTGCAAAGTGGAAACAAAAGCACCTGTCCAACAATAATGTTGCACACGCCCCTTAGGATAGAATATTACATTTGAAAGTGCTTTGTAGAACTGGACAGACTATGTAAATGACACATTTATAATGTCACAATTTTTCATTCTCTGGTCATTGTCACCTTTTTTTTTTTTTTTTTGAGAGGTTTTTGCTATAGGGCGCGTGCGCTCGCCAGACAGAGAGAGACATAGAGACAGAAAGCGAGAAATCACCCCCAGGGGGGATGGTCACGCCACCATCCTTTCTCCTCCATTCTCCTCTTGGGATCTTGGG